GAAGAAGCTCATTGGTAGCTTGATGGGGATGGCATTGAATCTATAAATTACCTTGGGCAGTATGGCCATTTTCACGATATTGATTCTTCCTATCCATGAGCATGGTATGTTCTTCCATTTGTTTGTGTCCTCTTTGATTTCACTGAGCAGTGGTTTGTAGTTCTCCTTGAAGAGGTCCTTTACATCCCTTGTAAGTTGGATTCCTAGGTATTTTATTCTCTTTGAAGCAATTGTGAATGGAAGTTACACCAGTGACAGTCAAACAGAGAGACTGTAAAAATTTTAAAACCCCACTCTTCATAAGAAAAAACTATAAACAAAATCAAAAGACCACCAATATGCTAGAAGAAACTCTTTGCAACATGTATCCCAGAGTATGAATATTCTTAATAAGGAGCTCTTCCACTGAAGGATTAACGACCAAAATTGATAGAAAAGTAGGCAAAAAGCCACGAATAGATAGCTCACAAAAAAGATATAAAATGGACCTTAAACATGTCAAAAGATTTTCAACTTTATAATGCTAGAAATACAAATTCAAATTACACTGAGTATTTTCTCATATGTCCGATTGGCTAAAAATAAAAACCCTGAAAACACTTTCCACTGGAAAGTCAGTGGAGAAGCGGCCACTCTTGCGCATTGCTGGTAGGGGACTCTGGTATTATCCAGGACTAAATTAGCATTTGCCCTTTGACCCAGCAATCCCATTCCTAGCAATTTACCCTGAAGATACACTTCCCACCACACAAAATTATAGATGTGCGAAGTTACTACCATTACATTGTCATTTGTAATTGTGAGATACTCTAAATAACCTAAATGTAAATTTTTTTTTTTTTTTTTTTTTTTTTTTTTGTTGAGACCGAGTCTCGCTCTGTTGCCCAGGCTGGAGTGCAGTGGCCGGATCTCAGCTCACTGCAAGCTCCGTCTCCCGGGTTTACGCCATTCTCCTGCCTCAGCCTCCCGAGTAGCTGGGACTACAGGCGCCCGCCACCTCGCCCGGCTAGTTTTTTGTATTTTTTAGTAGAGACGGGGTTTCACCGTGTTAGCCAGGATGGTCTCGATTTCCTGACCTCGTGATCCGCCCGTCTGGGCCTCCCAAAGTGCTGGGATTACAGGCTTGAGCCACCGCGCCCGGCCCTAAATGTAAATTTTAAAATAATGTAAGCCACATGTAGATTGGTTGAATAAACTTTGGTACATCACACAGTACAGTACTATGCAGAAGTGAAAAAGAATGAAGATCTCTATGAATTGATAGGAAGTGATTCCCAGCCGGGCCCGGTGGCTCACGCTTGTAATCCCAGCACTTTGGGAGGTGGAGACGGGCGGATCACGAGGTCAGGAGATCCAGACCATCCTGGCTAACACGGTGAAACCCCGTCTCTACTAAAAATACAAAAAATTAGCCAGGTGTGGTGACGGGCGCCTGTAATCCCAGCTACTCAGGAGGCTGAGGCAGGAGAATGGCGTGAACCCAGGAGGCGGAGCTTGTAGTGAGCCAAGATCGCGCCACTGCACTCCAGCCTGGGCGACAGAGCCAGACTATGTCTCAAAAAAAAAAAAAAAGAAGTGATTCCCAGGACATATTAAGTGAAAAAATTCAAAGTGCAAGAGTGTCTACATTGTTACTTCCCGTGTAAGATAGAAGGGTAAATTAAAAGATACAAATGCAAACACACAGATAATACATCAGAAAATAATGAGATTAATAACAGGGTAGGTGGGACTAGGGTGGAAGGGATGGGGAAGGAACACTATAAAACTATTAGTATTTTACATATTAAAAAATAAAATCAAGACTGGGGAAAACCTTTAAAATGAAATACAAATATGAACCTGTTTTAAATGAATGACTTTTGAACATATATTTTGACTATATACCTTTAATCTAAAGACCGAAATAGCTGTAAAAAAATTCTAGATAGTAGGTCTGTTTTTTGTAGCTGTGTAAGTTAGCAATTCTGAAACCATTTTCTCTGTATTTGAGGATCGAATAAATAAGTACATTTTGAGGGTAGTGGCAGCCAGATTCTGCTATTGGAGAAGGGAGTTGTGAATATGGCAAGAGAAAAAAATCTAGAAAGAACCCTATAGTTGCATTGGAGTAGAATTTGAATTATCAGCATGAACTCATGGTTTTTCATATAGCTGGACTTTGGACGTTTTAGAAGGAGTCACACACACCTCTAAAAGGAACCCAGGCCTTTTGGAGAAATGGTTGATTGTAGGGCTGGGGCAGGAAAAAAACCAAGATGAACCAGAAAGTAAGATAATTCCAAAATGTAAGGTAGTGCTCAAAGAACAATGGGGACACTTTAGAAGGACACAGGAACCAGCATGAAGGAACTTTGGTAAATATAGGACAATTTGAACATAAAATGATGGTGAAAGATTATAATCCATAGAATAAAACAAGAATCCATAAGTTCATACTGATACCATATAAGTAAATGGGAAAGGCAAAGATCTTTCTTGCGACAGATGCCAGTGAATAAATGGAAAAGTAAAGTGGAATTGGAAAACTCACCATTTGGGCTGGGTGAGGTGGTTCACACTTGTAAGGTGGCCAGATTGCTTGAGCTCCGGAGTTTGAGACCAGCCTGGCCAACATGGTGAAACCCTGTCTCTACTAAAAATACAAAAATTAACCAGGTATGGTGGCATGAATCTGTGGTCCCAGCTGCTTGAGAGGCTAAGATGGGAAGATTGCTTGAGCCTGGGAGGTGGAGGCTGAGTGGCAGAGCAAGACCCAAAACAAAACAAAAAAAGCTCACCATTTGGCAGCTACCATGACAGTAATGAGTCAGGCAAGAATCATGGCTGCTTTATGGCTGCTAGGATGCTAAACCTAATGGATGAAGATCTAGATTAATGATTAAAATTTGAAGAACAGGGCTGTATGTAGTCTCAAAGTATTTACTCACAAAATTCTTATTAAATTGGAGAAATAGTAACTTTACAAGGAAACCTACAGATATCACCATCATTAATGGACAAATCAACACCTTGTGCCACTTGATGAGAATGTTCCTTCTGTGGTATTCCCGCGGAAAGGCTTAGCTCAAAGTTACACATGAAGAAATATCAAAGGAACCTAAATAGAAGGCATGCTTTACAAATTAACTGGTCTGTTGTCTTCCAAGATGTCATGACTATGAAAGACAAAGATGGAGGGGGAAAGTTAAAGGAGCCTAAAGAGACATGACCACTAAAAGTGCCAGGTGATCCTGACTCAGGTTCTGTACCAGAATTTTGTTGCTTGTGCTGCTATAATGGATACTATTGGAACAACGGGCAAACTTGAATAATGTTATGTAATAAGAAATAGTGTCCGGGCGCGGTGGCTCACACTTGTAATCCCGTCACTTTGGGAGGCCAAGGTGGGTGGATCACGAGGTCAGGAGATCAAGACTATTCTGACCAACATGGTGAAACCATCTCTACTAAAAATACAAGAAAATTAGCTGGGTGTGGTGGTGCATACCTGTAGTCCCAGCTACTTGGGAGGCTGAGTCAGGAGAATTGCTTGAACCCAGGGGGCAGAGGCTGCAGTGAGCCGAGATCGCGCCACTGCACTCCAGCCTGGGCAGCTAAGTGAGACTCCGTCTCAAACAAAATTGTGAACTGGGTACAGTGACTCATGCCTGTAATCTCAGCACTTTGGGAGGCTGAGGCGGGTGGATTGCTTGAGCCCAGGAGTTTGAGACCAGCCTGGGCAAGATAGCAAGATGCTGTCTCTACAAAAAATACAAAAATTAGCTGGACATGGTGGCATGTACCTGTAGTCCTAGCTACTTGGGAGCCTGAGGCGGGAGGATTGCTTGAGCCCTGGAGGTCAAGGCTGCAGTGAGCTGTGATCATGCTATTGCACTCCAGCCTGGGTCACAGAGCAAGATCCCGTCTCAAAAAAAAAAAAAAATAATAATAATAATAGTATTGTGGTAATGTTTATTTCCTGATTTTGATAATATCACTGTAGTTGTAAAAAAAAGAACGTTCTTGTGTGTTTATGTATATAAAAGAGTGATGGTTGGGCACGGTGGCTCACGCCTGTAATCGCAGCACTTTGGAGGCCAAGGTGGGAGGATTGCTTAAGCCCAGGAATTGGAGACCAGTCTGGGCAACATAGCGAGACCTTATTGCTACTAAAAATTAACTGAGCATGGTGGTGCACAGCTGTGGTCCTAGCTGCTTGGGAGGCCGAGGGGGGAAGATCACTTGAGCCCAGGAGATCAAGGCTGCAGTGAGCCATGATTGTACCACTGCATTCCAGCCTGCGTGACGGGGAGACCCTGTCTCAAAAAAAGAAAAAAAAAAAAGCAAAATAATAAATGAAGAATCGGGGCGAAGGGTATATGTACTGTTCTTGAATTTTTAATTTTTATTTATTTATTTTTGAGACAGAATCTCCCTCCATTGCCCAGGCTAGAGTGCAGTAGCACAATCTTGGCTCACTGCAACTTCTGCCTACCCGTTCAAGCGATTGTCCTGCCTCAGCCTCCTGAGTAGCTGGGATTACAGGTGCCTGCCACCACACCAGGCTAATTTTTTGTGTTTTTAGTAGAGATGGGGTTTTGCTACATTGGCCAGGCTGGTCTTGAACTCCTGGCCTCAGGTGATCCACCCGCCTTGACCTCCCAAAGTGCTAGGATTACAGGAGGGAGCCACTGGGCCTGGCCTGACATTTTTATTTACGTCGGAAATAATTTCAAAGTGAAAAGGTAAAGTTGTCATAAAAAATTCCAAATTCAAATAGGACTTTGAAAACAACTTCACTGGTGTGTCCGTCTTAGCAGCAGTTGAGGTTTTCTGTGCCATTTCTCCGCAGCAGGGAGGAGGTGCTGCCTCTGCCTGTTGTCCTGCTTCCTTGGAGAACCTGTGATAGAGATGGAGCTGTCTACCTCTACCTCTGTAATAGAAATGTCATTCTGTAGTGTCGTTACATCTTATACTTGCCTTTATCATTTTGAACTCAAGTAAATGTATTCCTGCAGGTTGTTGATGAGCGTGAATTTTTTGAGATCATGCCCAATTATGCCAAAAACATCATTGTTGGTTTTGCAAGAATGAACGGGAGGACTGTTGGAATTGTTGGCAACCAACCCAAGGTGGCCTCAGGTAGGATGGAGAAGCTCTTCTAAGCCTCGGTTGTGGGGTTGGAGGCCAGGGAAGCCTGGGTCCATGGTGTCCTTTCTGCCTTTGCCTGTTCTTCAGACATATGACCAGAAGAAAAAAAAATCTAAATGGTTGCTATAAAAGCTACTTTTTTTTTTTTTTTTTTTTTTTAAAGACAGGGTCTTACTGTTGTCCAGGCTGGAGTGCAGTGGTGTGATCTCAGCTCACTGGAACCTCTGCCTCCCAGGGTCAAGCAGTCCTTCCACCGCAGCTTCCCGAGTAGCTGGGACTACAGGCACATACCACCATATGTGGCTAATTCTCTTTTTTTGTATTTTTCCTAGAGATGGGGTTTTGCCATGTTGCCTGTGCTGGTCTCGAACTCCTGAACTTAAGTGATGCCCCCACCTCAGCCTCTGAAAGCGCTGGGATTGCAGGCATGAGCCACCACACCTGGCCTATAAAAGCTACTTTTAATATCTCAAAATGCTCCTTTCATACTCCTTTTCAAAGGTTTATAGGAAACTTACATTCTTAGTGTATAAGGTTTTTAATTTTTTAGGGGTCAGTTTTCTGTTACCCCCCTACCCCCAGTTAAATATATGACTCACTCACTAATCAACGAGCTCCATGAGGACAGGGGTGGTGATGTCTTATTCACAGTAGTATCTCCAGTGCCTTCAACAGTGCCAGGTACATAGAGGGTACGTGACAAGTTAATGGCATCTTACCATGTCTGTTTCCCACAACTTTCTGGTGATATGGCTAGAACTGAGTCACAGTCAAGTGAGGGAGACTCTTCCATGGCTGTTCTCTGGGAGGGATTGGGAGTGCTGGGGTGGGGACTGAATACCACTTCTCACTATTTTTCCTCTTAGATTTGTTTTGTATCCTTGTTTAGGAAGAATCTGCCTTTCTTCATGACCCAACTTTATCTTTTATTTCTGCCATGGATATGTTTTATTGTCTTTAGAAAACTGTTGGCTGGGCGCGGTGGCTCAAGCCTGTAATCCCAGCACTTTGGGAGGCCGAGATGGGCGGATCACGAGGTCAGGAGATCGAGACCATCCTGGCTAACACGGTGAAACCCCGTCTCTACTAAAAAATACAAAAAACTAGCCTGGCGAGGTGGCGGGTGCCTGTAGTCCCAGCTACTCGGGAGGCTGAGGCAGGAGAATGGCGTGAACCTGGGAGGCGGAGCTTGCAGTGAGCTGAGATCCGGCCACTGCACTCCAGCCTGGGAGACAGAGCGAGACTCCGTCTCGAGAGGAAAAAAAAAAAAAAAGAAAACTGTTTTGGCTGGGCGTGGTGACTCACGCCTGTAATCCCAGCACTTTGGGAGGCCAAGGCGGGTGGATCACAAGATCTGGAGTTAGAGACCAGCCTGGCCAACATGGCGAAACCCTGTCTCTGCTAAAAATACAAAATTGAGCCAGGCGTGGTGGCACACGCCTGTAGTCCCAGCTACTCGGGAGGCTGGGGCAGGAAAATCACTTGAGCCACGGAGGCAGAGGTTGTTGCAGTGAGCCAAGGATTGTGTCACTGCCCGGGAGGCAGAAGTTACAGTGAGTTGATCACGCCACTGCATGACAGAGCGAGACTCTGTCCCCACCCCTCTAAAAAAATTTTGTCATGGTAAAATATATATAACAAAATATGTCTGTTTGGCCCATTTAAAAATTGTGCAGCTGCAGTGATTACATTCACAGTGTATGCAACCGTCACCACTATCTGTTTCCAAACATTTTCATCACCTCAGAGACTGTGAACTTGTTAAACAATAACTCACTATTTGTCTCAGCCTCTAGCCTTTGCTATTCTAAATCTACTTTCTCTTTCTAGGAATTTGCCTATTTTAGATATTTCATATAAATGGAATCATACAGTGTTTGTCCTTTTATATTGGACTTATTTCACTTAGCACAATCAGGCTTATTTCATTTAGCAAGGTTTATCCATATTGTAGCATATGTTAAAACTCCGTTTATTTTTATGGCTGGGTAATAATATGTTGCATGTATATACCACATTTTGATGGATTGTTCATTTGTCAGTGGACACCTGGGTTATTTCCACCTTTGGGTTACTGTGAATAATGCTGGAATCAACACTGATATATAAGTATCTGTTTGAACCTCAGTTTTCACTTTTTCTGGGTCTATACCCAGAAGCAAAATAACTGGGTTATGTGGTAATTCTAGGTTTAACTTTTTGGGGGAACACCACGCTGTTTTCTACAGCGTCTGCACTATTCTACGTTCCCACCAGCAATGTGCAAGGGTTCCAGTTTTTCCACATCCTTGCCAACACTTATTAATTTTTAAAAATAGTAATCCTAATGGATGTGAAGTGAATAGAATTGTGTTTTTGATTTGCATTTCTCATCAACATTAGTCTTGGTGAGCATCCTTTCCTGTGCTTCTTGGCCATTTGTATATCTTCTTTGGAAAAATGTCTATTCAAGTCCTTTTTCCATTGTTTAATTGTGTGTCTTTTGTTGTTGAGTTGGAGTTCCTTGTATATTCTGTATATTAAACTTTTACATATGACTTACAAATATTTTCTTCCATTCTATAGGTTGTCCTTGCACTCTTTTGATCATGTCTTTTGATACACAATTTTTTTTTCTTTTTTTTTTTGAGTTGGAGTCTTGCTCTCTTTCGCTCTGTCTCCAGCCCAGGCTGGAGTGCAATGGTACAATCTTGGCTCATTGCAATCTCTGCCTCCCCAGTTTCAAACCATTCTCTCACCTCAGCCTCCCAAATAGCTGGGATTACAGGCATGCGCCGCCATGCCAGGCTAAGTTTTGTATTAGTAGAGAGAGGCTTTTGCCATTTTGGCCAGGCTAGTCTCAAACTCCTGACCTCAAGTGATCTGCCCACCTTGGCCTCCCGAAGTGCTGGGATTACAGGTGTGAGCCACTGCACCTGGCTGAAAAGTTTTTAATTTTGATTAAATCTAGTTTCTGTATTTTTTCTTCTGTTGCTTGTGCTTTTGTTGTCATATATAAGAATTTAAATTTAAGGTGGTGAAAGTATGTTCCTGTTGTTTTTTTCTAAGAGTATTATGGTTTTAGCCCTTCCATTTAGGTTTTAATTTTGAGTTAATTTTGTATATATGAGATAGGAGTGCAACTTCATTCTTTTGCATGTGGAAATCCAGTTATTCCAGCACCGTTTGTTGAAGAGATAATTGTTTCCTCATTGAACAGGTGTGGCGTGCTTGTGGGAAATCAGCAGGCTGTGGGTGTATGAATTTGTTTCTGTATTCTTAATACTATTCTGTTGGTCTGTATGTCTATCCATATTTCAGTGTCACACTAGTTTGATTGCTGTAGCTTTGTATATGTTTTGAAATTGAGAAGTATGTCTTCCAACTTTGTTGTTGTTCTTAGGATTGTTTTAGGCATTTGGGGACCGTCTGTGTTGAGTCTTCCTGTCCTTGAACCTGGATTCTCTCTCCGTTTGTTTAGTTGTTGTCTTCCCCTGATTATTGAGGTATAATTGACAAATAAAAATGGTATCTGTTTAAGGCATACAATGGGATTATTTGATATACATATAATTTATCAAGTTAATTAACAGGTTCATCACCTCACATAGTTACTTTTTTGTTGTGAAAACACTTAAGATCCACTCTTATGGCAAATTTCTGGTATACAATACAGTATTATTAACTGTAGTCACCATGGTGTACATTAGATTCCCAGAACTTATGCATTTTCTAACTGAAAATTTGTACTCTTTGACCAATTTCCCTCCCTTCCTTCCTTCCTTCCTTCCTTCCTTCCTTCCTTCCTTCCTTCCTATTTACTCTATTAAATCATTATGCTTTATACAATCTGCAGTTACATTGATTACGAACTTATGCATTTCTATTTCAAAGGTTGTGCTCTTTAGTAATTTCCCTCCATTGTGTTCAGCCTTCTTCTTCTTTATTAGCCTTTATTACTTATTGCTTGCTGCTGCTCTCTTTCTTTCTACTTTTCTTTCTTTTATGCTGCTGCTCAACAGCACTGCCTGCTTTCCCCACCAGCTACCACGCCCCACCCAGATCTGGCTCCCTTCACCGACATGGAGTGCAGTGATCTCGCTCACTCACAGCCTCCTACCTCCTGGTTAAACAATTCCTAATTACCTGCTTCTCCTGAGTACCTGGATTCCTGTGCTGGCCACCATGTAATGATTTTTGAAACCACCCAGCTTACCATCGTAATTTTTTTTTTTTTGAGACAGTCTCCTCCATCAAATAATTGCAGCCAGCTAATCTGCTCTGCATATCCTCCTGGGTTCATGGTTCTCTGCCTCAACCTCTGATGCTTTGATTACAGAAGCCACGCACCCTACGCCTAAGCTAATTTTTTTAAAAGTAAGAGGTGGGGTTTCCACACGTGTTGTTGGATGATCTCAATCCTCTTGTGCTGTGATCTGCCATGCCAGCCTTTGCACGTGCTGGGATTACAGGCATAAGCCACCATGTCGGCCTAATTTTTTGTATTTTTAGTTGAGACAAGAGTTTCATCATATTTGTGGCTGGTCTCCCAGAACTCCTGACCTCAGGTGATCCCTGACTTCAGCCTCTAAGTGCTGGGAGGATTGGGCACTGAGCCACCACCTGCAGCCTGACCAATATCTTTCCAGCTCTCCCCACTCCAGCTCCCATACCTTACAATGCCATTTACACTCTGCTTCTGAATGAAACTTTGTGATTCCACTGCAAATTAGCAATCATTTCATCTTTCTATGTTAACAAGCCACTTGGCAAGTTCTCAGATTCATCATTTCCTTCCTTCCTTCCTTCCTTCCTTCCTTCCTTCCTTCCTTCCTTCCTTCCTTCCTTCCTTCCTTTCTTTCTTTCTCTTTCTTTCTTTTTCTTTCTTTCTTTTCTTTCTTTCTTTTTCTTTCTTTCCCCCTCCCTTTCCCCCTTTCCCTTCCCTTCCCTTCCCTTCCCGAATCTCGCTCTGTCACCCAGGCTGGAGTGCAGTGGCGTGATCTCCGCTCACT